GAAAGGAAGGGGTGGCCCATTCTATACCGGGACCGATACGGCGATCTCTCTTATTTATTTTTATATTCTCAGTAATCTCATTTATTCGCTGAGTTAATAATGAGTCAATGCAGTAGTGCGGGGGGGGGGAAGGGATTGTTAGCAATGGAGTTTGATAGCCCCATTGCTAGCAATATGTCTTATTAGGTCGACCACCACGTGGTTCCCCCTGGAAACTATCATGGTTAATTTCCGATGAATTCATCATGATGGACTAACTGGCCTGTTTTCATTCTCATCTATCACCCTTCACTGGTGCTCCGCCAGCGTATCCCATTAGCGCAGGCGGGGTTACCATACCATTTTCAGCCATCAAGAAAAAATGCAGTAGTGCGCGGAACTGCGTGTAAATGCAGAGTGCACCTTCAACAGACTCCGTTTTGTTGCACTATGGTGCATTTTGAGTTAATGAATCGACACAGTGAACTGCGCCTAAGTTACAAGAGATTTCTCTGAGTTACCCAGATTTAAATTATTATTAAGTAAATGCAAATGAATAGAAAATGAACTGGAAACGACGGTTTTTTTTTTCTGAACTAGGACCAATGTTTTAGGATAAATCAATCTGTCAGGAAACCTTGGAAACTATAGATTAAGATGCCTGCATCCCAAATAAATGTGACGATATTTGTTGCAATTTCTAGGGCTTTGCGTCTGTGTCACAGCTAATTTGTTCTAAAGTCACTAGAACGATTAGGTTCCAATTTATAAATTCACCTTTCATCATCTTCCTACCCTTATCCTAATTTTTATTTGGGGTTGGTGTGATATACTTATTTTTCTCCTCCATTTCTACATTCACTCCCATTCTAGTCATATCGTCTTTCACATAGTCCGTCCATGTCTTTAGATCTCGGCCCTTACATCCATCCGCATTCGTACCTACATAACACTTTGCTGACCGGGAATTCCATCATGGTTGAAATCTTTGGCATTCCAAATTTAGATTTTATATCACAATTTTAGTTCAATGGAACTAAATATAAAATCTAAATACAAAGAAAAGTCTTTTTTGGTCATAAACGCTTTGTAATCCAAACGGTGTTGCCCGTCGTGGTAGGAGGACGTACCTGCACGCTAGTGCAATAACGAGTTCACTTGTCACCACTCAGCAAAAATGTTAATATCTTTTTTAAAACACGATCCTCATTCAAATTTGTAAATTATAAATTAAAAAAAATGGATTTGTTATCATTGTAATAAAAGGATATTTGTAATTTACATACCTCACGGCAGTATCCTATTGCAATATCTTTATTACAATAAATGGTTATAAACATTAGGTACGTGCGTGGAACTTAAATTTTACGATATATATGTATTAAGACGATACCAATTTAGAATATTATTTCAGAATAAATAAGACAAAAGATTATTGATCAAGTTCGATGATTTTTCCAATCGATCGATAAAACGCGTGGCGATGCTTACCCAATTGAACACAGACTGGAGTGAATTGAAAGGTAAGTAACTTTGTTTAACTACATTGGCTTGGAACGTTAAAGTATTTGTTGGATTTGATAATTTTATTAATCAGAATGGATACACAATAATATTTGTGTGCTTAGATCATTTTAATAACAATGCGTTACCCCCGGAGAAAGGTGTTTCTTTTTAATGGATGAAAATGGAATGGCAACTTTGCCTTTTTTTACACAACTTAGAATGGCACACAAGCTGACGACCGACCTGATGGAAAGTGCTAACCGTCGCCTATAGACATGAGCAGTACCATGGGCATAACAGAGTATACTGTTTCGCCCATGATGCCCCCCATGCGTTGCCATTTCTGAGGACTCGGGTGTTATTTTTCTGTACTATGTAAATTCACTGCCATATCCCACCCTTCAAACTGAAACACAGCCATACAAATACAATTGCTTCACGGTAGAAACACGAACGGAACAGAAGTGCACAAGCAAAAGACTTTTATACAGTCTCTCTCTGGTTTTTGGTTAAAAAATATATTGTTGTTATTCATTATAAAACAACAAATGGTTGTTAATAGTTTATCTTGCGTTCCCATTGCTATTAATATGCCCTATAAGGTCGACCTCCGCGAGGTCTCCTCTGAAAACCGTCCTTGTTAATTCTAAGCAAATAAAAAAAAACGATTTATATAAAAATATTATATCTAGATACAAGTATATAAAAATCCTATTAATATAATAAATGCGAAGGTTCGAAATGATGGATAGATGGATGAATGTGGATGTTTGTTACTCTTTCACGCAAAAAATACTGAACAGATTTGAAGGAAATTTGGTACACAGGTTTTTTTTTGGTAGATGAAAATGGTATGTTAGCCCCGCCTGCGCTAACGGGATACGCTGGCGGAGCACCAGTGAAGGGTGATAGATGATGAATAAAAACAGGCCAGTTAGCTCATCATGATGAATTCATCAGGAATTAATCATGATAGTTTCCAGGGGAAACCGCGAGGAGGTCGACATGGTTGGGTATATTGCTAGCAATGGGATTTTTAGTCTCCATTACTAATCCCTTCCCCCCCCCCCCCTTGGTACACAGGTAGGTTATATCCTAACTTAGCACTTAGTATACTTTATGTACAGCGAGATATAATATTTAAACAAATATCTTCTTTAGTACCTCAATCTATTCGTGTTTCAGCCATAAAGCAGCTGTGGGTATGAATAGTCGATTGTGACAGTTACCTTTAGAAGCGTAGTATTCAAAAATGGAAATGCATAAGTGATAATGAACATAGCTCTACATACTCTTTGATATCCACAATACTGTTCCAGTATATAGGCGACGGTTACTATGTACCATCAGGCAGACCGTCTGCTTCTTAACTTTCTTGGTATAAGTTTCATAAAGAAGCACTGTGAAATCTTTTTCGAACGTAATCTCCGTATTTATACGAATAACGATTTTTTAGAGCCAAATTTAGATCCAAATAAATCGAATATATGGCCGGGTTATTATATAAAGGGGAAAAACCAATCGCTCGACCAATAAGTCAACACGGCGCCTTCGGAAAATGATTTTCCACTTGTTTCGAAGCGCAAAAGCGCTGACATATCACGACACTGCCGCAGAGATAATTAACTTTTTCATACAGTTTTTTTTTTCTGAGTTCGTCATGAATTTTTAACTTACTTTTGATTTAGATTTTGTGGTACACTCTCTTACTATGTGCGTTGGGTCACATTGTATATTTTATTATATATTACTATTTATAGTACATAATCGTATAAACTTTTTTTTTATTGAATATAGACTAGCGATGCATATATATATATATATATATATATATATATATATATATATATATATACCATATATATAATAAAAATGTGACGTAGTTTTCCGAACGCTGCCCAGCCAAGTTGGATTCATCGGTTGACCTCTCGGTCGAAGTGTGATTTACCTATTCGGGTATTTATACATTTATATATTCTTTATTACACTAAAACACACAGTAACAACAATAAGTTAATAACAATGTTAGCAAAGGCGAACTTATCTCTAAAAGAGATTTCTTCCAGTCAACCTAACACAGTGGCATAGGAAGTAGTGAGTCTCATAGGCATCTTTCTACTCTTATCCTAATTATAATTTGGGGTCAGCGTAATATGTTTTTCTCTTCCATTCTTCTTTATACGCGGTCATTTCCGTATTCACACCCATTCTGGCCATATCATCTTTCATACCATCCATCCAAGTCTTTTTAGGTCTTCCTTTGCAATTATCTCCATATTATATCCACGTTCATCTCATATACTAAGTTTTTTGTACAAAATTTTATGACATCTACTTGAGCCATTAGAAGCTCATTTTCGCATTTATAATACCTATCTTTGGCCGTGACGTTATCTATTTTATGTCGATTTAAATCTGTCAAATACTGAAAATCTAGAAAAAATCAGTAAGGGTTTATATATATATTTTTTTTTAAATTACACAAAATTTAAATCATTTTCTATCAAAATTGAAATCTTCTTTATTAAGACGTGATTGTTTGTCAAGGTTAAAATCTTCTTTGTCAATGTTTAAGTCTTCTCTATTTGCATTTAGATCTCCTTTGCCAAGACTTAAGTGTTCTCTTTCTATATTTAGATCTTCTATATTTAAATCTTCTTTATCAAAATTTAAGTGTTCTCTGTCTATATTTCGATTTATTTGTCAAAATTTAAGTGTTCTCTATTAAGGTCTCTTTCGTTAAGATTGATATTATTATATTTTTGATCGACATATGACATAGAGTATATTCGAAGACGTTACACATCAATATTGAATGTTAAGTAGGTAAATAACAAGATACGAACCTATGAAAATCACTTATGAATGATTTTTCTTTAATTAAGGACTTCTTATGTGTTTTGATAGGAGACCTCGATATATATATATATATATATATATATATATATATATATATATATATATATATATATATATATATAAAAAGACTAAAACGAATTATGTTTGTGTTATTACTTACCTTCCGTATAACTTCCCTGTGGAATTCATATAAATTAATTACACATACAAGCACATATCGCTCAGCTTATCGTATTAAAGTAAACATCTTTGGCCAAAGATGATCGCGAGCTAAGTTCGCAAGGCAAATCATAACAAAATCAGAATAAATCATCAAAACTCCTACGAAACAAAGTCGTTAATAGAATTGTCGTTGTGTACGTCTAAATATATAATCATAAATAATGAGTACCGTGTCACATTTATGCTCGTTATAAATATTAAATGACACCTTGATACTGTTCTAATAAGTTACTGTGACAAAGTATCAAGTGTGTATTCAATGGGACATGTCAATTTATGTCTCCTTCAATGCACGTATTACGTAATGTTTCATATATTAAATATATAAATTGTGTTATATAAATAAGAATAATAAAGGGTATAATATATATTCTTTTTTTAAATTTATATGTTTGATATATAAGTATTAAATATATATATAATAATAAACTTACATTGTGCCGTGGCGACCAAGAGTTACACATCAAGGATGCATCTTCCAGTATTCGACTCTGAAAAAAGAAAGCCTCGGTTTCTTTAAAGTATTATGTTATTTGCATGCATTTTTATATACACTCTTTTATTAATTTTTAAATAATTTTTAAATTAATACTGTAAGAATCTTTACATATAAAATAGGAAAACGCTGCTTCAATTTGACGTCTTGGATAATCATCATATCGTATCAGCCCTTAACTGTAACAGAAGGGCAGTTTTGACAATAGTTGCCACGCTTGGCAACCGCTGTTAGGCTTTTAGTGATGTTTTAAGAGGGACGCTACTGCCCATCCCTCGCTCTCTTCAATCGCCTTATATGCACTATATTGTATAATTAATTGTGTGAAATGCATGAAGCCATGTAGGTCCCGGTATAGAATAGGCCACCACTTCCTTTCCCGTGAGTGTCGTAAGAGGCGATTTTGGAGTCTATGGTCGAGGAATAGGCAGCACCTTTTAAAATATCACCAAAGGCCTAATTGCGGTTGCCAAACTGTCTGCGTAGCGTGGCAACAATTGACAAAACCCCTTTTGTGGAAGAGGCTGCGTTCAACAGTGGACAGTTAACGGTTGAAACACAAAATAGGAAAAAACAGCGAAATATTTAGAATATTGATAAATCCAAAATTGACTAATTTATAAGTAAATAAACCAATGTTAAATTGGAATATTTTTGAATACACTATATTAATACTCGGTTTATTTAAATTGATTCTATTTTGATAGTTGCATATTAGTATAATTTATTAATACGAACACAAAACTAAATCCTTAGATTATATAGATAGAGTATAGAGCCTCAAAAACGGGTCAACTTTATGTCAGCTAATTGTCAAATTAACTGACTTGTTTTGTTTTATCAGTGTCCTATATACTTACGCATACAACGTATCTTGACGTATTATTTAATAAATCAAATGAATATTTACGCATTATTAAGATGTAGAAATTATAAGGCAAAATAAATATAGAAGTTGCAAAAGAATTATTCATAACAATTTATCACGCAAAATTGTATGAAAAAGTTGACTCGCTTTTCTAGAAGCAATTGTATGGAGACACTCTATCTATGTATACTTGCTTAAAGTATGCCAAACCGCTACGCCAATATTAGTAATGGGCTACACACTCCTCTTATGGGACAAACGTTCTCGTTAAAAATGTATAAATACGGATTGGAAAGAAAAATCTCAAGCAACACACTTTGTTGCATACGGGTAAGTGCTTTAAAGCAAATCCGGTTATCCTCTAAGGCACGAGGCTGTAAACTTTATTGCGCCCGCTACTGGCTTGATGACAAATTGTGCACTATTACATACTGGTCCGTAGTGACACCCACAGGAATAGACTGTGGTCTATTCCTGTAAAAAGAGTATGTTCTCAATTAAATTAAACTAAACAGTAATCTCTCTGTTCTCCTTTAACCAAAGGTTGTCTGTAAGAGATTGACCTAACGATATGACCGTCTTGTATGTTTATGTATAAATTTAAATGTATACTTTATGCTATTGTGTTTCACTTGAACTGTTTAATTGATATTTTCTATTTCTAATGTTTCTGATGCAATAAAGAGTAAAATAAATAAATAAAAAATAAACCAGCCACTTGAACGTGGCAAAATTATTTTAATTTAAAATTTAGAACGCGGAATCGTGAGTCCATTTTTTATTTAGCTTCGTAATATGCAACAGTTTAGTTTACAAAGAAAAATCTTGCTTGTTGCTAAATATTATTAATAATTTAATTGGTTTTAAAGAGATAAATTACTTGTAATGCAAAGTAGAAATTCTTTACTTGTGGTTCCTCCCACATATGATCTATGTAGTATCTCATATATACATATATATATATATATATATATATATATATATATATATATATATATATATATATATATATATATATATATATATATATATATATATATATATATATATTGCCTCAGTGTGAATATTTCTTGTAAATTTTATTTATCTATTTATAATAGTCTACTATAGTAATCGTTTAAAGAAAACTGGGATTCTCAGTCTTCCTTTCTAACAGTCCCTTTCCCCCGAAAAGAAAGGGGTAGCCTACTCTATGCCGGGATCGAACCGGGGGACGAACAGGTTTATAATATGTATATTTACTTGATACTAAAAATTTCAAAGCGTTTAAATGTGATTAAATAGTAAATATTAATAAAAACTAACATTGTAGATATTTATGTTAGGATAAATTACATCATCATCTTTATAGCCATTACCCGTTCACTGCTGGACATAGGCCTCCCCCATAGACTGCCATAAGGAACGGTCCTGAGCCACCTACATCCGCTGACTCCTTGCAATGCATTTGATGTCGTCACTCCACCTAGTGGAGGCTCGTCCTACACTACGTTTGGCTGTACAGGGTCGTCACTCAAGAATCTTTCTTCCCCATCGGTTGTCGGTTCTTCGAGCTATATGATACATAAATTACATAAGTATTATAACAAATATAAACTGTGCAATATGTCAATTACAATATGTAACCTTGAAACAAAGAATTACCATGTTTACGTCTCGTACACACCGACTGTTTGACAAATGGCCTTTTTTTGATTAATTGCGAACGGTGTAAATAGTGTGACTATTTAGTATGCGGCGGCCACGCCCTCTGCCGACGTCGGCGAAGACTTGCCAGTTTAGCAAACATAACGTTGGCGGGGTAACCACTAGGGTCATAGAAACTGAGAAATTGCCCTGATCGATGTCTGTTTGTTTAACTGGTATTAGGGTACCGTATGTTATATTGTAAATGTTATACACACTGTAATTACCAGCAACGTGTGTTATCTTGCATAAACAAGGGACTTTTTGTCCACTAATAAAACTACCCTTTAATTTTGGTCTAGGTATTTTGTTTTGTCTAAGTTTTTTTAAGTCTAGAGACAATCATCAGTTTAAATTCTAGTCTGACTGTAAGTAACAACTTAAAACAGACCTAGAAGATAGTTTAAGAGGAAACACGGTGATTTGGACATTTGTACAATAGATATTTTGCAAATGTTTTGCTTTCACGCTTTGTCGAAGTCTGGAAAAAAGGGACTGTCACAACTTAGTTTATAATAAATAAATATTGATGAAAAATTTCCAAAATCGTCAATTTGTTTTCCCCTATTTTATTTTCTAAAAATGATCGTGACAAAAAATTCACTGCTGATAACAAGAAATAACTCAAAATAATGTGCAATTATTCCTGAAACCTCGGAAAATATTACAAACTGCCAGATATTATATTTAACTAAATTTCTGAATCGATTTCGATAAAAGTTGGTAAAAAAGTAAATTCATTATGTACTCAATATGATAGATGCTGAGAAAGGGGTATTTTTTTTAACAACTTAGAATGGCAAACAAGCTGACGGCCCACCTGATGGAAAGTGGTAACCGTCGCCTATAGACATGAGCAGTACCATGGACATAACAGAGTATACTGTTTCGCCCATGATACCCCCCATGCGTTGCCATTATTGAGGACTCAGGTGTTATTCCTCTGTACCCTGTAAATTCACGCCATATCCCACCCTTCAAACCGAAACACAGCCATGCAAACACAACTGCTTCACGGTTCAAACACGAATGGAACAGAGGTGCCCAAGCAATCGTCTTTTGTACAAAGTCTCCCTCTGATACTTACTACATGGCCTGGGGTCTAGGGCGGCCATGACTGGAAATTCGCTACTGCAGATACACAGCAGATGAATGTTTGAAATAAAGGAAGACAAAGAAGTATGGCAAAGATAGATACAAACTGTATGACGAAAGGTGTCATTACCAAAGGAGAAAATAGAGGAATACGTTTGTATTGGAAAAACGGTGAAAGCATTTCCTTTTAAAAACGATAAAACCACTCATTGTTTTCTCTGTTCTCTTTCTTCTTCTCTTCTTTTGTAAAAAAAATATCATCCAGTTACGATTTTATTATAGTAGTAAGATGCACTCGAAAGGTTGCGTCTGCTTGATGAAACTGCGAAAGATGGCAAATCAGCCCTCTAGACGAGTGGATAATGAATCGATCGATAAATATCTATCGATCAGTACGTGTACGGTATGTGTACAAGATATAATTAAAGATTGTTACCCACAAACAAACTAATTTCATTTGTGACAAAATTAATTTGATTTAAAAATTAACTGCTGAAACCAATTTCGATAAATTTACTATGAGATCCACCTGTAAGTATATCCTTTCAGATGAAGAAAGAATTTGCCAAATCGGTTTAGAACTGACGGAGTTATTAGGTAACAAACATATAAACAACAGCCGAATTTAGAACCTTTTTCCTTTTGAACTCGATCGAAAACAAGACAGTAATACTACTCTTCCAATAAAAAGTGGTTAGTTCCAGCAGTGGGCAATGAATTGACAAGGAATCCCATGTACTGGCCATCAATATACTGGTATATTTTTGAAATACATATATACCTAGAACCGTGTCCTATAGACACACGTTTAAACGTTGCAATTTTCTTTTCATATACGTCCGTGATGTTTCTTTTCATATATAATCGACAAAATTAATTCAACGCTACATATGAGCGGGCACGCTTAATTCAAACAAACTCAAATTAAGTTCTATTACATGAGAAACAAACTCTCTTTTTCCACGTAGCCGTCGCCTTTAATGACGTGAACTTTATACAACCTGTAATTTCCTATTACGCTATCCACTTTATAAGTTAACCACCTATATCATTTTTAGACACGTTTATTATAATTTTATTATTTATCAACGAAACAAAGTTTTTTTTATGAATAAATGGGAAACTCTTTCAATAAGAAATTAAAATTGTCTAAACAGACTCAGAGTTGACGAAGGTAAAAATAAAAATAATTTTTGGAAAATATTTCTCTTTTAAAAAGTTGGTTCAAATTTTAAAATAAAAATAGTTATGTTTCCAATGCGATTGTGATCCATTTACGTTAAATTTTAGTTTAGGCGTTTAATATTGGCATTTATTATAACATTTACTAAACCTAACATTGGATA